TTTTCAGTCACCTTTTTTCTTCGTATTCACCCCCTCCTCGACCCCACGCTGGCATTTGACTGAGCAAATTGGGCCCTTTTACGCTAAAAAACTGTTTTTAGTGAGGATCCTTCTTCATTTCCCATTTTTTGGCTATAAACCTCTTCTCAACCCAGTTTAAACCACAGCTTCACATTCTATAACCCCAAACCTCAGGCAGGCATTCTCAGAGGTGCTGCCTTGGTGGTCCCCTGCTTGTACTCGAGCTTTATTTTAAAATGCACTGGGGGGGCAGGTACCAGTACAAAAGAACCACAGAAAAACTCCTTGTTTTTAACCCTTTAAACGTCCAAACAGTCTATTTTTACATGCTAGTGCCAAAAAGGTCTACTTTTTTTACTATTTTCCAAATATAAAAAAAATAGATCTAATTTTTTTTAAAAACGTTTTCAAATGTAAAGAAAAAAAAGAAGACTTTTTTTTTTTACATATTTTCAAATGTTAAAAAAAATGTAGATCACTTTGGACATTTAAGGTTAAGCGGAAAAGAGCAGTTGTGGCGTGTCATCGTGATGCTAAATGCACTTGCTGGTGGGATTGTGTTTCTCCATCACTTTGTGCATCGGGAAAAAAGTACAGAAAATAGTGGTACTCTCCCCCGACCCGGCCCCATTCTTCGGGTTGCCATATCGCTTAGCAAACCCTTGTGTTGTCACTGAAATTTAACATGTCCGTTCTCTCGGGGCCCCAACTTGCCCCTCGTTTCTTTCCTCCAAGTCTGCCCGAAGTTAGAGCCCTTTTAAAATTTTTTTTTATTAGAGAGAACTTTTTAAGTGCCCTTGCACTTCTGGGAAATGGAGGTAACTCTCTTGCTTTTCCCGATATCGCGCTGGGCCTGACAGCTTCAATTTTTGGGTGCTACAACATTTTCATCGTCAGCCCTTTCTGTCCTCTTTAAAATCAATCCTATTTATTGCAAAGGGGTTTTTCCCCACTTGGAAATCTGCTATTGGTTTTCCCTTTCTACAAACGGGTATACGGAACATGATGCCCCCCAATATGTCCCCTTTTTCTTTTATGTAGTTTGCAAGTTTATGGAACTCTGATAATAATTTTGATGTGGAGTAAGACACAATAGTCCCCCTATAGTCAATATGGGTTTCGTAGGGCCCTTCTACAACTGCGTTTTTTTTTCTTCTGAGCATATAGGTCCCTGTTGGGACAGGGGAGGGAGCAAACCCGCTCTAAAATCTGTTTTTAATGATGGGGGTCTAGATGATTGGCGATCTTGCTTTTTTAAACATTTTCAAAGATTTTTATAGGTAGTTACACTTCTGTAGTTTTTTGCTATTGCTTTTTGCCCCCTTTTTTTTGGATTGGGGCTATGTCTTCTTTTTAGCAGTGTAGGGTGACCCCGTTCCATGTTCCCCCCATGAAGTTAAAAAAAACATAAAAGGCTTTTGGAGTTCTTGAAGAACATAGAGTTCCACGGGGATGGGGCCGGAGGGGTGTCATTTTTTGCCTTTTCGAAGCATTGGGTGTTTGGATAATATCAGATGGTTTGAATCTACCAGTTTTCTGAGCTCGTCAAAAGAATTCTTTTAGGTCTTCGCCTCTTAGTCTGGTTAGTGGTCGCAAAGAACTGAGTCATACTGGAACTTGAGATTTCACTCTTTTCCCTTGCTGTCACCTTTGGGACCCACCATTTAATAGGGGCCCAATAGGGATTTGTTCCAACTTAGTTTGGGGCAAAAAAAAGAAATATTTTGGGTTTCTTTCATTTTCATTTATGGTTTTATTTTTTCCCGTTTTTGTCGACTCCTGTAAGATTTTTAAAGCTAAGTTCGATGTTTGCATTTCTCCACCAGGCCCCCTTCGTAAAGATATTGGCCTCTTTTAGCACTCTTTATTCTTTTACCTTCACCCTTTTAAGGGCGTCTCTCTCTCTCTGTTTACATCTTCCTCCATTTTTTCCCTTTTAGGAATTCTTAGTAACCTCAAGTGACAGAGTTAATTTTTTCTAGAATAATTTTTGGCTGTGTTGCTTTGGATATCTTTCCCAAACTTATTTCATTTTGGACCCGTTTCACCTGGGTTCCCCCTATATGTTTTTTGTTATTTTGGGTTTAGAAATCATTTTTTTGTTACTGTATCAATAGGGGGAGTTTTGGTTCTTTTGGGTTAGTAAATATTAATACGTGGGCCCTCAACCAAAGATGGATCGTCAAAAATTAAAACGACTAGCAATACTTTTAACCAAAAATTTTGCCTCGACTAGTGCTAAAAAACTCGCCAAAACGATTGTTCATTCAACGCTCCACTTGTGACCTGAGCCGCCATGTTTAAAAGCCCCACCATGGGGTCCCACCCAAAACATACAATAAACATTTAATTTTATCAAGCGTTTTTATGTTTTCACTGCAAAATAAGTCCCCCTGGCCCAAGAAAGCTTTAGTCCCAAACCCACAGCAAAAAGGGTGGAATTACTATGGAATGTGATGAACGGTTTAAAAAAACCGACATTTAAAGATTGAGACTCTTAGCAACTATGGGAATCTCTTTTCGGAAACGTTCACCACACAGTGGCTTCATCTCCGAAAAAGTAGAAAGGAGGAGGAGAGGGGGATTTGGGTAATCAGTCCCTCGCCTGAGTCGATGGTTCCCATCAATCTTGAGAATGTACACATGGGGCCGTAGACGGGCTTATACATGGCCCCCCCCCGGTTAACAATATTTTTTCCTCCAAAGTATGTTCGGGTGCCAGTACGACAAATTTTTTCCCCAAAAGGGAAAAATTGTGAAGAATTACCTTTTTCAGAGCCCCAAACAAACACGTACAACCCCTTTACATAAATACACTTACAAAAATTGGTCGATTCGGGGGTGATCTTTAGGGGGGGGTCCACTGTATACTTTTTGTGAGGTGAGGGAAG